GTACCTCAGGCGGCAATGGCCGCCGTGCTGGCTCAGTCGCCCTGCTGCTGCTCCACTCGCTGCTGCGCTAAGCTGCGCTATGCTGCGCTCCTGCTTCAGCCCCTGCGCTAAGTTTAGCGCATCCAAACAGTACGCTGGTACTGACCATGCCGTGCCGGTAGAGTTCCGGTAGGCCGATGCCTCAACTGAGGCAGGTACCGGTACTTATACCGTAGGCAATGGTCTGGCCTCAATGCTGCGAGGCCAGGCCAGACCCTGGACYGTCCAGATGGACGGTTCAGCCTCAATCGGCGGGCRGCAGCTTCAAGAGCGCCGCCAGGCCCAAACGAAGTGTCGTTTGGGCCTACCCGATGGGTGCTGGTCCAAAATCAGGCCTTTAGGGCCTGTAACCCCAAAGGTCGGGCCTTTAGGCCCTGGTGTGTCCCTCCGGCCCTAAGTCGGGTCCGGTAGGACCCGTGTGAGTCGAAGATGTAACATACAGGGATGACAACGATTTCCTGTGTCCTCGTGCTTTGAATCTGTTTTTCCTCCCGATCACCACCACTGGTCAGCTCCATTTGCCACGCTGCCACGTGCCACTGGGTATCACAAGACTTTATGGGTTTTATGGTGGCGACAGACTACTTTCCTACCACACACTGCTCAGACACACGAGACACAATTGTACACACACACACACACACACACACACACACACACACACACACACACAGGGTGTTGTGCGAGAAACGTTCACCAAGTTTCTCAGGGGTATGGGTAGCTCAGGGCGACACGGCGAGTCCTTATCAGTCAGTCAAATGCATCCTGGGAAGACATTGGGCCTCGCCACGCCACTGTCAAAATGTGAAAAAGACAACATCTGATCCGTGATCCATCGGACCACAAAAAAAAAAACAGAAAAAAAAAAGTGGCCAGTGCATTCTCATTTTCCAAGTTTCGGGAGTGGTGCAGCTATGCTCACAGTCGGGGTTCAACCTCCTGACTCATGAGTCGTAGAGTAGGGGAAATTCCGACGAAACAGTCTGGCACAGTCATGCTTCTCTTTGTGGAGTTGTGTACAGCGAATATGACGACACACACATGCACACGCACACAGGGACAACAGACGCTCACAAAACCATACCAAGCCCTGTGTTCGCGATGTGTCCCCGCGTGCCATCAATCGCCAGCAAAACATAACGCGGATTTTTCCTTTTCGTTTTCGTTTTCCGCTTTTTGGGCATTATTCACTCCTGCCACGTGTCGTAGTCAAATCGAGCGCTGTGCAATCGCAAGGTGACGAACCGCCGACGCCGCCACTTGCCACGCTGCAAAACCAACCCACAAGAACGCACACACACACACACACACACACACCCACACACCCACACACACACACATGCACGCAATGCCTCCAAGTTGTGCCATATGTCGTCGTGAGGGCAAAAAAAAATTATTCGTGACACATTGCTTTATTTGCTTGCTATGCGCTGCCACGTGGCAGCGTCGCAAAGTGAAGTGCCGATTTCCTGCCAAGTTAAGAGAAGGATGGATGCTTAAAGACTCAGGGCCTCGCTCCACTACTCACCAGGTGACCAAAGTACCAAAAAAAATGGCCGTGTATCTTCGCATGTTCTAGCGGAAGATTCATTCTCATTTTGCAAATCTGGTGGGTGGTGGGAAAAGGCCGTAAAGAAACACACAGAAGAGGCAGCAGAAGAAGCAGAAGTTGAGGAAGCGGTCCGAGACTGATTTATGCGCAATACAGCTTTCGTAGCATGCGCCTTGTCATTCGCAAGAGCACTACCAGACGACAAACAACAGAAGACGAATTTGCAGAAAGTGAAGAAGAAACATGAAGAGAAAGGTGAAGAGAAAGATGAAGAAGAAACGAAGAGAAGCAGGAATCTTCTAAAGGCCGACAAAGTTCTCTTCGACAAAAACGAGAGTATGAAGTAGTCCAGAAAAGAAACTGAAAAAGCTTTCACGACGTATGCGGGGTTATGAAGAGCAAGGCCCAAAAACACCCCGCCTTATAACAAAGAAATGCCAACGATTGAACTGACACGGCTACTTTATTGTTTTCTACTTACTATCATCTGCACAGCCAGTAGGCCATCACTTGATCCGAGCGATCTCATCAATCTATACACCTCTCTCTCTCTCTCTCTCTCTCTCTCTCTCTCTCTCTCTCTCTCTCTCTCTCTCTCTCTCTCTCTCTCTCTCTCTCT